TTCCTTGTTGTTGTGAAGTAAATAAAGATGTTTTCCACAAGTCTCTCAGTCCCAGAACCTGACAGTTGGAAACCCTAGCTGCCTCAAATGCTAGTTTAATGCATATTATGTAAAAGCTATTTTAGTCCATTTTCATAAAAGCAGCCATGGTTCACCATACTGTTCCTTCCTTAAATTGTTTGAAGTATTGGCCCCAAAAGCAATCAGCTTAATCCAACTTTGCTATCTGATTATAATTTCACTAACCTTGATAGTCTCGGAAACAGCCAATGAGATGCACTCAGCTAATTCACAACCATGTAAAACTGATGGAAAATAGACGGCGACTCGCTATACCCGCAGCCATAGGATCATCTTGTCAACAGACACTCAAAGACCACACTAATTATAACCCAAGATCGCTTAAAATGTTACATCAGTTTCACTAACCTTGATTCTCTTAGAAGCAGTCAACGATGCGCTGAGTTCCACAACCACGTCGAACTGACGAAAAATCAGACCATGATTCAATATGGTCACACACAGGATCATCTTGTAAACCGACTCGGGTTGAAAAGGCTTGTCAAGGAGGACATAGGCCACTGTGTAAACTAAATAGAACAATTTGCTACTGATCATGCCCAGCTGTTCCAAGAAACTTCCTTCTAAATTCAGGACTTTTTTTATCATGGAAACCTCGTTCCTGGGGAGCAAAACAAAGGCAATAGAGAAAGATTTTCTAATTAGACACTCCTGTTGTTAGTCACAACAATATACAGCTAGGGATTCTGTTTAAGGAAATATCGAGGTTTAGTATCATTATTGACACTGGGGTAATTAAGACAACTGTTTTTGATATTAGCAAAGGACATGTCTAGCAAGCCTGCTTGAGACAGGTTTCCAGTGATGCCGGTCTAGCACAGGTGTATGGCAAGCCTGCTTGAGACAGGTTTCCAGTGATGCCGGTCTAGCACAGGTGTCTAGCAAGCCTGCTTGAGACAGGTTTCCAGTGAAGCCGGTCTAGCACAGGTGTCTAGCAAGCCTGCTTGAGACAGGTTTCCAGTGAAGCCGGTCTAGCACAGGTGTCTACCAAGCCTGCTTGAGACAGGTTTCCAGTGATGCCGGTCTAGCACAGGTGTCTAGCAAGCCTGCTTGAGACAGGTTTCCAGTGATGCCAGTCTAGCACAGGTGTCTAGCAAGATTGCTGATGGACAGATATCGAGTTAGCTTGTCATACACTGATTTGTAGTAAGCAAGCAGGACAGCTGACTAGCAAGCAATATAATAATAATAACAATTAAGCAAATTCGTGGAATTTATTTCCCCCGGTTGCAGGACATATTGTTGGTTAACATTATTGAGGTAAGGTTTAAACATGTGAGTATCATGCTGTTGAGACATAATGTATAGCTTGAAACTTGAAGAAAAAACAAAAAGCACTGATTATCTGCAAATATGCACAAATCACATTGGCTGGCAAACTTAGCACGAGTCGGATGTGCATACGGAATTTGGTTGAAACATCTGAACTATTATATCTACAGCAATTATCACAAGAAAACCAAAGAGTGCCCAAGATGGATGGAAAGACAGAGGAACACAAACATTGTTATCAAGTTTAAAGGAATTCGGCTAATAGCTGATAGAGATATTAAGCGAAAACTGCAGATAATGACGTTTTTCGTTAATCAAGGGGCCATATCTCTGCCAAATGGAGTCCGTAAAAGTCTGTAAAACATGGACAAGCACTTAATGCGTTGAACCCTGTTACTACGTTTGAAGACAATTAGTAGTTGTTGTAGTTATTGCACGGAAACGAAGCACGGCATGACATTTTATTCAAGGGGCCATAACTCCGCCAAATGGGGACCGCTGAAAGTGGTCATCGAACTCGATCGCGCCCTAAAGGCATTTAATGTTAAAACACATAACCGTATATATTGTTAAGGCATTCCTCAATTTACACCAACCACGATTGTTATCGCACAACGTTCGTCCATCGTGCACACAAATAATGAGCGCAAGCAATGATCGTCCAACTTTTTATCATTCACACAACGTGCACACATTGTGCGCACACAGCACATCGTGGAACATTGTGCGATCCCACAATTGTAGATGTGTCAACTACAGAATAACAAACTGGTTTCTAAGACTTCACAAGACTCACAAAGGCACAACTACTTCCAGAACTTTTCAATGTCAAAAAAGAGGACTGGTTTCAATGCTACTGGTAAAAGAAATGATTTTATAGCCATCAACTCTGATTTATTTTACAGAATCAGCATGTCCGTTTGTTGCACTCCAACCTGTTCATCAACAACTGTACAACATCTTGACAGCAGTGTTAAATACATGTACCTGTAGTCTTTGTACTGTGGCCATGGCCTCACCAGACAGCTGAAAAGCTCTCAGGACAAAGGTCAAGAGTGACCGCTGCAGAACGTTGAAGAGGGCTATGGCCGTGTACAGACCAATAGTGTTGAAGGTTTGTTTTGTAGAGATAATAACCGATATAACTGCCAGAAGACACATGTTTCGCCCACAGAAACTATTTGTACTTGTTACTGCAAACAGATGCTTTGGAATCCGTATATAACGTCCCTCTGCCCTGACAGAAGGAAATCAATGAAAAACAACGGTTATTACATAATGGTTTTCATCAGATTAATATAACAGATTACAATCATCAAAATGTTCTTGCTTTTCTTGCTTCAAAATGGGGGGAATAGCCTCTCTAGCCCTATATGGTATATAGGCTCTAGCAGTGTTCTACAAGACGACCGAAAGTGTACGAGGGATATACAAGAGAAGCAGCTATAGGGAGGACATGGTAATTGGAATCGTAAAATCAATGGGCGTACTTGTCAACTGAACTTCTACTGGCGAGTTCACCACAGCACACATCGTGTCAAAGGGCATACAGTGACAACTTCCAAGACTAGGGATTTTGTTTGTTTGATGTTTTATTGAATATATCAGTTTAAAAACTGACTGATATTAATCAAAAATATAATATGATGACTGCACAATTTACTATCCAATATAAACCCTCAATGTACAATGTACCAGAGCTTGAGACCGTCAACTTTATGTCATGCAGAGTCAATACAAAATGTCAACTGAGACATTTTTCAGCAAGATCAGAATAGGAGACATCATTCACTTCAACTAAGACATCAAGATGCTTGCATCTTAAAATATACTTATGGTTATTTTAGACATCACAGATATTTGCATTCTATTGAAGAGTTGAATTGTTTCAGTTGAGACATTCCCCAACACACCATAAGCTTGTCTACCATGCATTTGACATTAGCAGGTGATCCATCAAATCTACCCAAAAGTATCCTTTAAGTTGAAAATCTTCAAATTCCAAACTTAGTTCCTATTAACAGCTATGGTCATTTATTAGGACAAGTTAGGTATTGGTAGTGGAGGAAAATCAAAGTACCAGGGAAAAACCAATGACCTGCGTCCAGTAGTTGGCAACTGCCCAATGATGCAGGCCTCAAACCCTTGACCCAGTAGTGAAGGGCAAGTAATCGTAAAATTATCAGATGCCTTAACCACTCGGCCACCGTGACCCCAACTTACCATGGATCAGTCACTAAAACAAATCATATGGCATAATCAAATCTTTTTCTACTGCAATTGTTGTATAACCTTATAATCACGATATACCGACACAAATCTCAAAATACTGTACTGTAGACTTACATCCCCATTCTAATACAATTAGCATCTAAAACCACTGAAAGAAATAATAATTTGAAGTTCTTTTTGTACATTTTACTAAACTTCTGGATCCCACTGCCATGGATTGGTAACATCAGTAATAGTCACAGTGAGGGGAAAGCACAATGCTCCAAACAGGAGTAATTATCAATTTCTCAAAGCGCCAGGGTCAGTAGAGGTTAACGACGTCAATAACAACTGCCATCCAGGCTTCATATGCATATATTTTCATTCTTGATGTTTGTTCTGTACATGACTCTACCAAATGAAAACAACTGCCATTAGATTCTAGATATATATTTTCGTTATAACAAAATCAGCTGATCTGCGGAAGTCGAACATTCGAAGTTTGTGTGTAGGCTGGAGTTCTGGCTGTTCCTTTTTTATGGTTTTCTGACCAATACTAATATTAAAAATATTAAATCTACAAAAAAAGTTTTAACTTTTTTGTTGTAGTTCATCGTAACGTAAATATATGAAAGGAATGAAAAATGTTCATGTACATTGCGGCAATGAATAGCAGTAGCTGATCTACATATCTTCTGAGGAGTGCTGTGACAGGATATGTAGATCAGCTACTGCTATTCATTGCCGCAATGTACATGAAAAAATTCTATTCAATCCCTATAAGAGAAATTTGCTGATGCCATATTGTGGTAATACATTTGCAAATTCTTTAAATCAAATACTTTGTAACACGTCAAATCTGCTGAGGTAACCAAGCTGTACATGTTGGTAAGCGCCTTTTACCACTGTGAGTAATACCCTGAACAATGGAATGTGATGACTTGAGAATAGGTGTGCTTTAACTGCACTCCTTCATATATCAAATATCATTTCCACATGTGCTTAGCTTTTTGCTTTATGAACACTCAGAACTAACTGAAACTGAACAACACCCAAACATATTAAGTAATTCACATGGAATGAAGTTTTGGTATAAAACTGCATGATTTGATTAGCAAATCTAACTGATGAAACAATGTTGTATGTTGCTGGACTAATCCATTGAAAAATAATGCTGACAATTTGACAATGCCATAAAAAAAAATGGTAGGTGGTTCAACAATATGCGACACATGTTTATCATGTTTGCCTAAAGTTTGAAAATGATCAACAGTCATTTAATTTAAAACTCCAATGTAAACCACAATTTTCAGTTAAAGTATGAATGAATCTGCCTGTATAGTCCGTAAACCTTTCGGAACAGACACATATTCACTTTTCCAGTAATGTTTGGTCCAGACAGGGTTCACCGGACCACCTGAACCAAGTTAACTAACCTGTAACCGTATCACTGTTACTCTACATTCTGTGGCAAACTGGACACCTTGGGGGATGAACAAGACTGTGGACACGTGTATGGCTTGGTACATTGCGATGGTAACAAAAGTCACATCTGACACGAGTGGATGACCAGTCAAGGTGAAGGGCAGGAATGTCAGAAATACAAGCAACTTGCTGGACGTAAAAAACGGCCCCACAATGAGGCTGCGTGTGTTCTGGGTTGACCTCACACGACGCATTTCTAAACTGAAACAATAAAATCTGACATGTAGCAACATAATTATCTGGTCAGTTTCTGATAATGGATAAACCAATGAAAAGTCTAGAGAGTGCTCCATTTCTCCCTCTGGTGTTTTCATGGGATCTAAAAGTGATTAAATAAACAGTAAAAACTACAATGTTACACCGTTAACATTTACTGCTCAATTTGCATCCATATTATATCTGCCCTCAATTTGATTAACATAAAAATCTTACATGTGTATTTACAGCACACATCAAGGTACAGGAAAAACCTATTTCTTAACTTATCTTACAGTAGACAAATGCAGTACTCCAGCATAGAAACTGGATGGCCCAGGTTCAGCCAACACAACCAATTAGATTTTTTTTTCCAGCAATCATAAATACAACAAAACAAGTATGGCATGAAAATAAGGCTGAAGAAAAAAATACTGAAAATCATTGTGAGGCATTTTTAAGACTTAGCAGAATTTCAAATACCTTGCGGTTTGACTGTTTTTTTACTGGTGATGCGCTTATGCTTGCACCCACCTATCTTGTCATACAGATGTATATAATACAGACGTGGGTCATATCTGGTAATGATCGAGGAGTTTAATGTAGAATGGGTCATAATACAAATTAGGAAATAAGCCCAGAAATGTCACTCAGCTTTCCCATTGCTTTAGAAGACCAATAAAATATGCTTCAATGTAACCCAGAAAACATTTACATGTTCAGGTTAACTTATATCTTTTCAAGGTTAAAAAATACCATCACCAAAACTTAATCAAAAAATATCATATGATATTGTTAAATAAAGTTTTCATAGAAATACAGCTGAAGGAAACTATTGACTGGTTTGGTCAATACAAAAAACAACCCATCAAGTTTAAATAAAAATTTAAACTACAAAAACAAGAGGTGACTGTAGAATATATACAGCAGACACTTTTATCTAGGGTATTAAGTAGGCTAGTGTTTTGTTTCTGAACAGAAATGATAACCTCATGTTTTGTTTTTATCTTTGACCTGAGCTAGCTAGGTCATTGTCTGTTTTATCTATGAAGACATCACTATCACACAATGTCAATAATACTGTTCTGTCTGATACTGTACGACACACATCAGACGTATAAACATCCTGTGTGTTAAACACAGATGTATCGTATTTGTCGTAATTCGAGCTCCTCCCTTATAAGCACTCTTCCTTTTTTGTAAGAAATTATTGAATGCTTATATATAAGCACCCCCTTCCCCAAACACTATCCAGACTGGCCCTCTGTGATTAACAAAATATATTATTTAGTTATCTATATACCAGATACTACAGTCTCATATTCTGACAAGATAGTTTTCCGGTGTTTTAGAAAAGACACAAAAAAATTGGAATTTTCCCCCACAATTTGTCAAAGTGCCTCTTCAGTCGATATGTCATGTGCACTGGGTGCTAGTTATGGCAAATATGGTAGTTGAAGAGTTCAGGACCATTTGAATCCTTTACAAATAGTTGATTTTTCTCTCACTGAGACATGAAGATACGGTATGTCAAAACACTTGTTAAATGTAATTGAAAAATAAGGACCAAAAGAATCCTACAAAAATAAATATCTCTTTTTTTTCACTTTACAAGACATTAAGATGTTTGTTTGTTTTTATGGGGTATAACATTCTTGCAAAGACAATATTCTGTCAGTTGAACAAAATGTAGTTCAAAAGTTGAATCTTCAAAGTTCTACACAAATAACATATCTATCTGAATGGATTAACACAGGTGTATATGTCAAACATGGTTGACAAGATCTGAAATTTAAGAATTATTCAAGTCCTATACAAATAATATATTCACAGTATTATCTGGCCAATACTATGCTTTTTTTTATCTTAATAGAAAAGTGCCTCTACAGTTGATATGTTATGTGCACTGGGTGACTCAAGGACCAGCTTATCTGGTCCTTTAGTCACCTGAACTGCAGCTTCCGTATCAAGTACAGTTAATGTGAACCATGAACCTCTCCAAAACACTTAAATATTCACATACGATGATTATTTCCTCAATTAACATTATACAACACAGTCTCAAGTGTAGGATTCATAATGTGATTGTTGCTGATGACTGTGAACTTGAAAAAAAAAATCACAACACATTATTACATCATGTTTCCAAGTAATGTACAGATACAAAGAAAAATAATCAGAATTCTTGCGTAAATTCCCAGGCTTGTTTTTTAAAAGAGGGAAAAAAATGTAAAACAAGAAAGCCCTTAACCTGATGCAATATGTTAAAAGAATTCATTTTCATATGTCAGACTGATAATTTAATCTGTATAACAAGATTGGTGGGCTTATTGACAGGCATGGGCTTATCACCCGAGTTATGTAAAACAAGTCGTACAAAGAAGAGGCATAGACAGAACTAAATGATTCAAAAAGTTTCACTTTCTAAATTAGCTAATTCTTTAAATATAAAAAAAAATATACTCAGTTACGAACATCAGTTATCTAAACTGATCTCTCATTCAAAGGATAACTTGTATTTGCACATTGAATGCTCCCACACATTGAGCTGCCTGTTATATATCGGACCCACCATAATGATCTAGAACTCCCAGGCAATCTCACCTTTAATATGAGAGGTGTTGGTAAAAGGAAGGGTAATTATCAAGATAAAACAGGTGTATTTGTTCAGTATACCAGTACTTATTATATACAGTTAAACTTTAATTGATATGAAGACCCTGGTTTCAATTGCCACCTCGCTTACCGCCAACATATTTAAGGTCCCTATCCATCATTTCCCTTAAGAATTAATTTGTACGTTTCCCTCGATTTATCGCCAACCCCTTTATAAGGCCATTTCTGTTGACAAATGATGGTAGTATCATGAAGTTTTACTGTATGTTTATAGCAGCACTTGACCCACTAAAAAGGATACTCATACAGCAGTTTCTTGTACCCAATGACCACATTTCCAGTGACAAAGCAAATTAAATATTATTTTTATGCAAGTTTCGGCTTGACTTAACGACATCAAGACTTGTCATGTTGAGGCATCATTATACCTGATACTTCTAGCTGTGTGCAGTATCTCTACTGCTGTGTGCAGTATTTCTACTGCTTTCAGGAGCACTGACTATATTTAATAAACAAATATTTAGTTCCTGATCCACAGATAAGCCCACTGAGAATATAATATTTCCTTAAACATGTCAGTTACCTGCCTCAGATTGATCCGATGTAAATCACAAGGAGGTAGGTCTGGTAAGAAATAACAACAGGTGTTTTATCTCACCACAGGAGATGGAAGATGTATAATCTCCTGTGATCAGGTGCAGCCGCAGCATCAAACACTGTTTCCCCATGCCGTTAATATAACTGTAGTGCGAGGAAATAGGGTGATGTTAGTTCAAACAATAGTGTTACAAACAACATGTTATTGTACTTCTTTTTATTTGGCTGGTATGTTCTATTTAAGATTTTAGTTTTATCTTGGTCCAATTTTCACATCTCTATGTGCATTGGGATATACATACATAATGCACTGCTTTTCCAAAAGCAAGTCTCATACATATTAACATTAGTTAAGTTTCAAATGAATGTTTTTAAAAGCTGATTGAGGTGATTTAACTTAGTAACAGTAACATTGGTGATTTACCTTCGTGACAACTGAACATTGATTAATTACCTTAGACACAGTAACCTTGGTGATTTACCTTAGACACAGTAACCTTGGTGATTTACCTTAGACACAGAAACCTTTCTGATTTACCTTCTTGACAACAATATGATTTACCTTAGACACAGTAACCTTGGTGATTTACCTTAGACACAGTAACCTTGGTGATTTAATACCTTAGACACAGTAACCTTGGTGATTTACCTAAGACACAGTAACCTTGGTGATTTAGCTTCGTGAAAACAACCTTGGTGAATTACCATAGACACAGTAACCTTTGTGATTTACCCATGTGACAACAACATTGATGAATTTACCTTAGACACAGTAACCTTGGTGATTTACCTTCATGACAACAACCTTTGTGATTTACCTTTGACACAGTAACCTTGGTGATTAACCTATGTGACAACAACCTTGGTGATTTTTCCTATTCCTACAAAACCCTGTAAAAATTGCTGAGGCAAGCACTTGTCTGGGGAGATACCCATCTGTCAATTTCCAGGAGACATACAACTCAGTATGCACACCAAACAAACCTGGACTTCAAACCAGATTGAAGAATAAGTAAACATACAATGTACTAATAATCCCCCTTCATCTGAGCTTTAGTAATGTTTGAGTAGGATCCTCAGAGTGTGTAAACCTGAGGCTGAGGCAAAAACTTGCCTTATGCTAGCTGCCTTACCCCTTTAGCTGTAAGTCTATGGAAAAGAATGTATTAAGATAATTCCATGGAAAATAGTATTTAGTAGTTGCATAATGGTACTGCTGTAACAAAATCTTTGATATTGGAATTCCAACCCATTTTCTTTTGTCCCTTCACAATGCTGTTGACTCAGTACTTCTAAGCCAGCTTAAAAAATAAAGACTGGTGTTCTGACTTAGTTCCAGAGAGACCAGTTTTGAACTTTGATTTACTATGCTTTACTCGAACCAGCATTACTCCGGGCGGGGGAACATATTGCCGAGTGAGAACATTTAACTGAAAGCTTTCACTGTCAGCTTTGTTTGGTCAATGCACAGTTCATCCCATCAATACTCTTATCAAGTGCAGAAACATCTGTAAATTTAAGGGTAGATAACAATTTTTTACACAAGTCTATGCAATTTAATTTTACTGGATTCCATCCAGTAGGTGCATAATGCTATTGTACAGGAAGGATGCATTGAAAGACATTGTTCAAGGTCACACACTTCAAGGGGAGTTAACCAATTTCAAGGGAGTTAACCCAGTCGACCTATGAACAGGACCACTTACAACCCTATGAACATGCTGGGGAAACACATCTACAAAAGAGAGCACTCTAAGGGGAGGTAACAAACCTGTAGGCGACTTGACGTGACT